TGGCATTGTAAACTAGCATATGTAAACACTGGCTGAAAGCATGGCCAAGCTCATCAGATGCCAAAACCACATTGCCTCAGTAGTTCAGGGTTTGTATGGTGGACACAAGACTGAAATGAGTGTAGGAACTTCAAAATAGTTCTGAAACACGATGGGTGTTTCATAATGCTCTGTGTAACCTCCTATGATTCAGCACATCTGATGCTAATATTTTGCAGCAATTATAGGATAGACTGGGGACTGTTGTTCCAGTCAGATTCTTGTAATTTATCAAAGTCATGAATCAGGTTTCAAAGAAAGAAAGTTCAGCTTTTGTATCTGATTATTTTGTTGTTACGTGCTAAAGCCACCTTTTACTCTTAAAGTAATCTGCAATATTGAATTAACTTAGGCAATGTATGGCATGATATTTAGTTGTTAAAACATGATTACACTAAGCTGGCAAATTGATTCCCTTTTTGATTTGTCTGGGTGATGTTGGAATAGCTTCACTATTCCATTTATTTCTGCAAGGCTGCTGTTGCCTTAGGCTGCCAGTCACACTGTGGGATGACTTGCACTGTGTGCCCCTAGATCCCAAATGCAAATGAAGGCTGAACCTCACAAACTACATTCAGTCCTCCAGCTGCCAGCTTGCCTTAGCCTGTGGCTGCTGCAGTGGGAGTGTAGGAAGGCAGTGACTGTGTCTGAAAGGTGATTGTCACCTGTGTCTTCCGTGGTAGCTCTGTCTGATGGGAGCTGCCAAGTTTGATGTGTTGTGCTCCTTAGGGGCTGTGAGGGTGGATGATCCCAATGGGACCTGGGACTGTCACGGATTCTATTGGTTGGTTGGTTGTCACCAACTTGTGCTGGGGACTGGCTGGTCCTTTACCTTTTACCTTTTACCTACATTACCTGGAGGCATCATGTGGTCTGATACAGTCTGTCAGTCTGGAAAGTCAGGAAAAATCTGCACTCCTCTGTACTGACTGTGGTGCTTTCTACAGAACCTTCAGCATTGCTGTTTCTTTGTAGTCTGGGCTGAGAGTCCCTTACTATTTTCAGTTCTACTGTCCCATCAATTCTTGGAGCCTTTTGGGTGAGTTTGCAGCAGAGCTTCCTGTATTATGGCTAAAGGCAGATCTGTAGCAATAGGTATGTGGAGAGAATATATCTGTAAGAGAATTTTGATAATTATGAATGTTTGTAAAACCAATGTAAGTCAACTGTTGGCTTTTTAAGAGGTCTCTGGCTGTAACTTTTGCAAAACTATGTAGGCTTCAAGGGTGGACTACAAAATTGCATCTTTCAGGAATTAATTATAAAATTTCAGCTGTGTGAAAAAAAATCATGCTGATCACACTCAGTTAATTCTAAGGGAATGTTGGATGATGAAGACTGCAAAGATCAGTCTCCTGTTTTCTGGTATTGCATACACTTACCTTTCTATTCCTGTACACATATTTATTATAATGTAAAATTTCATCAGAGTATGGAAATGGGATTCTGATAGGAAAAAAAAAAGGCAGGGAGGGGTCACCTGTTGGTAATCCTGAATATGGCTGTTTTTTGGATTTGACTCTGATTTCAGCTTTGTTTTTTGGCTGGCAGGTGCCTGGAGGCCTTTCAGTCTGCTTTAGGAAACCTTGTTTTAAAAACAGTAGTATTTTTCGCCTAATTATAAATGCAGATTTTGCATGTGTTTGAGATTTACAAGGCCTTGCTTATGTGAAACAGGCTATAAACTCTCCTTGGAAATGTATAGTAGTCTGGAGTAGATAATTACACTTTGAGAAAAGAGCCTCTGTTTCCAGTGAAAACACTGCAAAGTTATTTCAGAAATGCTCTGACCTCAGACGTTTCATATAACTTACACAAAATGCTTTCACATTTGTTCGGCAGCTCGCGGCTTGATCTCTGCCATCTCATAAATGAAAGCACAGAAGTCTCCCTGGGAAAAAAGCAGCAAGTCTATGCTGTGGCCTACAAAACTAGTGTTATTTTACTCACTCTGTGCTTTGTGTCTGTACCCTTAAACAGAAGAAACCTTGCCCTCCTTTAAACAAATCTGTCTCCTAATCACACCCCACCCCCACAAACCCAACTTTCCCTCAGATTTTTCCCCCTCCCTGCCTCCGCTCAGTGTACACACACTAATAAACTCTGCAGTAAAAAACCTTGGGAGAATTTTGCAGCACAAATAGAAAGAAGATGTCAAAGGCTGAGGATAGGAGTTTTCTGTTTAAAATTGCAAAAACAATAGAGAACAATTGAAACAGTGGGGGAAAAGCCAGAGATGGGTGAACAAGCCATGAAAGTATTCCATTAATTTTTATTTTGATGGAACCCTGCTGGTTATCTTCACTTGCATCCAAAAGAGTCATTTTTATTTGCAGTTGTTTGTTTCTCAAGACTCTTGCAGAAAGCAAAAGCATTGCAAATACAAACGAAGAGACTTGTGAGAATGCTTACACCAGAAGTGCTTTTGTGGGCTTTTGAAAAGCTGTTTTTAACTCCTGGTACAATAGAATTGTCAGATGTTTATGAAGACTTTTAAGAAAAATTTGTGTGCTGGAAGGATGACTCGATAGAGGTGATGGTGTGTGCCACTCAGGGAGAGAAAACACCAAGCAATAAAAACAAAACAAATTCTGATTATGATGTGCACAGGTCGTTTTCAGAAAATCCTGCACAGAAAAATGAGCAAAAAAAGGGAGATATGGTTCAGTCTTATTAAAAAGCATGTCTGGCTATGGATTGTACTTTCAGGGAACTCTTGGCAGAGGAAAATATGCAAGGTAGGGGAAGGGGCCACTTGTGCACTGGAGATGGCTGAACGCATTGGTGGTTCCAGTGGTACCAGGGAGACAGCGCAGTGGCCCTGCAGATCTGGTGGCTGAACCCCTCCTGTGAGCTCTAAGTTGTTTCTGTTCCAGTCAGCCAGCTTAGTTCAGGCAGCTGATGTAATCTCTCCTGTTGTAGTTTCTACCAACAGGAAGAGCTGTGGCAAGCGTGCTTCAGAAAAGTTATGAGCCAAAACCCATCAGAAGCAGAGCCACTCTTGGGCAAAGGAACGGCATTGAGCATCTAAATGAAGGCAGCAACAGCTCCCACAAGACGACATTTGTTTACAGCCTCAGTCATGTCAGGTTATCTATAATTTCATGCCTAAGGCCTGAGAAATAGGATTCTGACTGTAGCAGATAGGGGTCATGCTATTTGTGCTTTGCAGCAGTAAGATATTCAGAGCCAGTAATGGCTTGGTAATTCAAGGAGGTGGAACACACGAGCGCAAGCTCTTCACTTGTGCTTCGCATTCACGGTGGAGAAGGCAGCAACAGCCTGCACTGGCTGATTTTAGTTCTTCCCAACTTGCAATTGCTGTGGTACTGATGGTATGAGTTTACAAATTCACAAGATAGTGGCATGTGTGTATGAGTTTCAAAGCAGACCTGCTCTACTGTAAAGTCACGTCTCAATACATGTATGTGGAGACTGTAGCTAAAATCAGACAGTGCTGCACTTAGTTTTCAGTATATATTATGTGAACTGGGAAAGCACAGTAGGGGTTAAAGTATTACAAAAAAATACATGGAGAGACTTTAAAGGTGCAGCTGGGTTGTATCTATTCATTAAATTGTTTTGTTTAATTTGTTTTTAAAGAGGCCAAGTGCTTGTAGGGCAATGCAAAGTGGGCAGGGGTCATAGTTAATTGAGCAGATAGTTTCCACTCAGCTGTCAGTGAGCACTGTCCTTCCCAAAGGAGATGTGGGGACATCAGGAGGCAGACTTGTTTCTGTGTCCTCTGCAGCAGACAGAAGAGATGGCAAGCCATGGAAAGAGAGGCATATGCTTTAATTCCTTGAAAGATTTAGCAGCAGATGCTCTTCTCTGGCATGCATCAGAAGCCCTTAAAACTAAGCAGAAAATTGGCTACAACAGGGATTCTCAAAGACTTGCCTGTGGCTGATCACATCTTTAATACACAGCAGACTGACCTCCATTCCATTGCATTTATTTGAACCACATGAATTTTTACCAGTCTTGTTAGTGACAGTCTTTTCCTGTTCTGCATGCACCCTCACACACACACACACACACACACATACACACACACATACACACACACACTGCCCCACACTCTCTTTGTGTTATCACAGTGAACCATGCTGGCTCGAATGGCTTCCTCTCTGTTTACAGCTGCTTTCATATGTATCTCAGGTAATGAAGTTCTTTGTAATGAAACACCTGCATATCTTTCAGAAAGCTGGAGGTAGAGTCTGCACTGTGTAAGCAGGCAGGTTTTTGCAGACTGATAGCATTTTTATTCACAAGATGCTAACCTGAAAAACTAGTTGTTTAGAAACCTGCTGCTAGCTTTCTGGTGAGTGCTCAATAAAAATGGAATAGGAAAGGACCTCCTATTTGTGATTCTGTCACCTTACTGTTTGTTGGGTGGTAAGTAACAAAAAGTAATACTCCTGCAAAATCATGTTACACAAAGAGCTCATTTTGCCTAAACACTCTGCTCGAGACTAAACATCAGTATTGCCAAAGAAAGGAATGAAAATCCTACTTTTAGAATTTCAAATCCATTTTTCTTTGGCAATCAAAGAGAAGGAGGGTGCCAAAATACATGACAGATTTATATATATTTGAATTTATTAAGTGTACCTCCTAAGAACTTTTGCAGTCTAAGAAAAATTTTATTATCTGATAGGAGATAAACTATTGTCCCTAAGTGAAATCTGTAGATATTTTGCCATTTCAGGCATAGTTCTGCTTGTCTAAGTAGACTGATTCAACACACAGGGTTAGCAAACTATTCAAGAAATAGTGTGCAGTTCCTATTATTAGTACAGTGAAGAAGCCATCACTGGAATAGCACCGGCATTTGGAGTTAAAAATTATAAAGAGATACCTTGTTGGGAAGAAATTGCAGATTGGCACAGATTTGTTTCTTACTGTGTCCCAGGACTTCATCAGTATCAGTAATTAATCTTTGCCTTTGTTTCTTTCAGGGCCCTCCTGGTCCAAAAGGCGAGAAGGTGAGTTGGTGTTCGGGTGATTCTTACAAGGTGACTGGAAAGCCCTCCCAGCATGAACTCCAGAGACTGTTTGTATTGATGCAGTGAAATGTTAGATTATGCAAGAGAGCTGGGTAGCAGACAGATGCTGTGTTAAACCTATCATCTCATCTTTCCACTTTGCAGGGAGATCAAGGTGATCAGGGCCCTCGGGTAAGCATCTTAAAAAAAATGTTCCACTTCCCCTTCGCTGAGTAGGCAATTAGTCTTTAGTGCAAAACTAAATTAAAATACACTGTCTGAGCTAATTATGCTTATTAGCTGCATTTACCCTGCATGTTGAAGTGTCTGCAGGACAGCAATACTGAACGGGAGCAGGAAGTGTCTGGGAAGATTTGAGTGGTTCCATAGTGTACAGTTTCCATTATGGGTGGAAGCAGGTTCCATCCACAGTGATTTTGCTCTGCTGTATAAGGCTGGCTTTCCTAACCAAACCAGTTTCCCCAGCAATGTGTTCATGCCATGCATGGGCTTCCACAATGCAGAGGGCCAGTGGGATTTGATGTAAAATGTAGCTAATATTTAGTGAATTATAAAAAAATATAATGTATGCATGTATTAGCTTTTTTCCTGACATGTATGTATTTAATATTTCTAAAAATAACAATATTATCACCTTGTAGTTACAATCCAGACAGTTAAAACATGATTTAATTTAGGAAATGAGAAGGTTCTTTTAATTTCTAAACGTCATGTTTATTTTAACAGAGAAATAGAGGCATACAGGAGTGTAAGTTCGAACGGATTGGCTGTGCTAGTTCACTCTTCTTTACATCTGTGCTTCATTAGAAAACGCTTGGTTACATTGTTCGGATGATATAGTAACTCTCTTCGGTTACATGTTTATAATTTTTCCCATAACAGTATGTTCCATGGATTATTTTCATCTGTTAACTATGTTAAATATTTTGAATTTGCAGCTTTATTTCATTCTGCTGTTTTGTTTCATATAATTTGATTTAATTGGATTTTACATTTTTTCAGCCAGTAAGATTATCTAAAGTCACAACATGCTTTCACAGCTGATTTTGATGTTCCCTTAACTACCAGGGTGTCCTGGTATGCTTGGTGCTAGGGCTGCACATCATAAAGACAGTGGCCTGAGAGTGAACAGCTTTAAATATTATTTCAGTTGAAACTCAGTAAGAGCTGGAAAACTACTTAAATAAATAAAAGAAAGCAGAGAGTAACAGTGAGAGCAACATGCCCTTTTTCTAGGTGACTAACACACAGACTAAAACTAAAGGCTCTGAATAAAGTAGAAATTTCCTTTTAACTTCTAAGGAAACTAAGTGTCTCTTAGAGACGGAGGCTGTACATTTTATCTGGTTCTGTGTTGCAGGGTTTCATGGGGAATGTGAGGAGAGATGCAGGGAAGGAGAGCAGTGCCTGTGGCTTAGGAAGGGATGCTCCATTCAGGTGGCCTAAGACAGGCTTGTGTGTAAGTGCTTGCACTAAATGGCCTTACATGCAGAAGGTGGCGTGTTTGTACATTCACAGCTGTGTCTGTAGATCCAAAAGAACAGGAGAGCAAATTTGATGGAAGTATAAGAGAGGGATCCAATAACAAATGGGGAAGATCAGTGTTTTGAAGAGCATTACATAGCTGAGAATAAGAATCTGGAATTATGACCGTCAGAGAAGTTTTCAGGGAAAGACCCAGAGGTCTTAATGCTGGAGAACAAATGAAGTGGTATCAATACAAGGGAATGATGATGCAGAAATCCTGGAAAAATGTTGAAGAGATATAAGAACTATTAAGTGGTTAAGCATATGTGGCTTTCAGTGCCAGGTCTGGAAGTGTTGGCAGTGCCCAATAAGAAGATGCAGGTTTGGTCAGTGTTACTGCAATGGGACCTGTGCTATGCAGAGATTGTTGTGTCCTATTTTGCCAAGACATACTCCGTATGCAGGAAGGCAGTAGAGTCCTTACTGAGCCATACAAATAATATTTATGACCATTTGTGGGTTTGGTAAATCAAGTGCAGATAAAAAGCAGAAAATATCCAACCTGAGGTATTAATATATAAGGACATCACAAAGTTGTATATGCAGCTGCAGTTGGCACTTGAGACTGAATTCTGTATCTGATTACAGAAAAGGAATTCAGTAAGGTCAGCAGTGGAGAGGAAGAGATGGTAACAAGCATCCTGTGGACAAGCTGAAACTTTACCAACTCTTTAGTCAATGCAGGTTGTAGTAACATACCTCCTTTTTAAGTATATGGGTTAAACTCGGGAAATTTTCCCAGTATTGTTGGTTTTCCCTTAATCTATTTTGAATGTGTTGCACAGCCTCTTCTTTTTCCTTCCCCCCCCTCCTTATTTCACAAGTAGTAAGTACTATGAAGCCTGTGACCATTTTATGTTTCATGGTACAGCAGTTACCTCTTCTAATAACAGTCTTCAGGGTGAGTCTGCTCAACCTGCTGTGCCAGGGGATTTACAATATAATTAATAGAATTTTTATGTGTAAGGCACTCATGCACCAAATGAAACTAAACCCATTTAGTCCTGGTTGGTTACCTTTGCACATAGTTTTCCATCACTGCCTGTGTAAAATAAATGGGTTTGGAGTTAATGGCATACAATTTTATTTTTGAGAAACATTATACCTGAAAGTAACTGGGGCATGACATTAACACTTGGATTTGACAAGTTTGCAGACAGATTGGATATAATATCTAAGAGCAGTGAACATTTTAATGCTAATTCATCTTTTACAGGTATGGAGCCTGAAGTTTCTTTGGGTTAATACTTTTACATACCCGCTTGTAACAAGCTTTTCACTTAACAAAAACTGTTAGTATTCTAAGCTATGTCTGAAATTTCAAAATTACCCTTTTGAGGTCAAAGATACTGTTTTCTGTCCCACCCAGGTTTTTTCACCTTGAGATTTTTGAGGGATCTTTCTTTCTGAAATAATTTCAAAACCGTAAAAATAGTAACCAGTTATCTCAAAATGTTCACAGTCACTGGACATGTAGAATATATACCGAACTGCTTTGCAGGTTTTCTTGAAAATACCTTCAATAAGGTCATACACTAAGAACTCAGCCCTGCAAATACCACCCAGAGGCCAGGCACTTATATTTTTAGAATAATGTGGCTGGGTTTTTGGTTTTTTTTGTTTTTTTTTAAAGTATCTGAGGAGTTTTCTTAATTATTCAGAAGTAATCTGTGGATCAGACTCCGTCATTGTGCAGAGATGGCATAAGGGTTCTAGTTCATAATGCCATGTGGCTTGATCTACCAGTGTCCATACTGCATAGAAAATGCGAGCCAAAACACATTCTAGTAGTGTGAGTGATATAGAAATTAATACTCTGAGTTTGAGCAGCAAGTTAATACAGCTTTTAATCACATGAGACCACCATTAAGGTACTGATGGTGAGTCCTGATCTTATTTGGAAAAAAATCTTTTTTTATCTCTTTATGTATTTTTATATCAGATCTCTAATTACTCTAACATTCTGGTTGACTAAACATTTAGGTCAAATGCAAAGCTAGCTTTCCTTCATACCAGTGTAAGAAATGGTAATGTTAGTATATCTTTTGGATGCTCTTCTTTTTTCAGAGGGCATGGCTTCATGAAATGTCCATGGAGATTTGCTTTACTGTGCTGAGCCATGAGAAAATTAAAAATGATGGAGTTTAGCCTGTGGACTGTTGGAATAAATGGTGATATCAGGCTGCTCAGCTCCAGTTGTTCAGCTCTAGTCCAGTAAAAAAAAGCCTTTGAAAATTTTGTAATGGTAGGGTTTCAAAGCATGGATTGTCCAAGTAGCGACTGCATCTTGAAAAACATGAAAATAAAGAAAAATATGAAGACCTATGGAACTAGGTCTTCAGAGGTGAATGTATGGGAACAGAACAGCTACTACGGAGTGTCTTATTGGATAGGGAGGGGAACTTTGTGATCAAGGATGAGGAAAAGGCTGAGGTACTTAATGCCTTCTTTTCTTCAGTCTTCAACAGAAAGACTGGTTGTCCCAAGGGCAACCAGCCCCCTGATCTGGTAGACAAGGATAGGGAGCAGAATGGACCCCCTGCAATCCAAGAAGAAGTAGATAGACGCGCTGTGTCACTTAGGAACTCAGAACTCTCTGGGGCCAGATGGGTTCACATGGAGGTACTGAGGGAGCTGGTGGAAGAGCTCACCGAGCCACTCTGCATCATTTATCATCAGTCCTGGCCAGCTGTGGGGGTCCCAGACAACTGGAGGGTGACCATGTGACACCCAGCTACAGGAATGGTTACAGGAGGATTGAGAGAACTACAGGCCTGTCAATGTGACCTCAGTTCCATGAAAAGTTATGGAACAGATCATCTTGAGTGTGATCATGCAGCACCTACTGGACAGCCAGAGATTGGGCTCAGCCAGCATGGGTTTAGGAAAGGCAGGTCCTGCTTGGCCAACCTGATCTCCTTTTATAACCAGGTGACCTGCCTAGTGGATGAGGGTGGTGTTGAGTTGAAAGTTGGAATCAATGATCTTGGGGGTATTTTCCAACTTTAGTGACTCTATGATTCTTAGTCTTTTCTCATCCTTCTGTAAATGACATTATAAATATCTTCTATCCTTTAGTTCAGATACTAAATCATGATCATGAGAGATTTCTTGTTTATCGGGGCTAGAAATCATTAGCTAGAAGCTGGTTTTAAATTGGGCTTGGTCTAGGTGAAATGAGATACCACCCAGAAGCCATACTTAAGTATTTTCATAAAATGATTTTTTACTTTTGGTATGTTTCAGTAAATTTTCCAGTTGGCTGGGGTGGCACAGAACTGATAATATCTCAAAAATATATTAAGCAGGAAAGATGAAGTTCTAGAAAAGACAGGAACTCGGAAGTTTATTTTATTTTTTTAACCTTTATTGACTTGAAGATTAAAAACATTCCTTGAGTCCTGTTAAAACAGTTATGTTCTGATAGAGATATAATGTTCTTTTCAAGTTAATCCTTTCCTCTGTTTGCTTTTTAACATATTTGTTACTTATTTGCTTCCTGGTAGAGAGAAGTCATTGCTTTGCAAGTTCTACTCTTCTGTACTGACAGACTATTTCAAAATTACCCAGTATCTCCAGAAGTAGTCCTGGAAGCAGTCTATTTACTGCAATAACCAAATACAAATGTGTATGTGTATATATAG